GCCATTTTACAAACTATGAGACACGTTTTTTTACCATGATATTTTAAATAAGTATTGCAAAATGATAGTAAGTATGACATTTACCTTCTGGAGGCATTGGGAAATGCAAATCCTCATTATTAATGGTCTCGTTCAGTATCTTAGAATCATTAGCAGACCCTTCCCATCCTGCTACGACGTACGTGAACATCATATAAAAATCACAAACAGCCATTACATTTTGTGTGGTATCCCTCTTCCTACCACGAAATGGTATTTGCTGGTCCACAGGCACGTTCGCATGGACATGAGTTCCATCAATTGCCCCTACAAAATTCTTAAAAAAATGGTGGTACTTTTTTGACTTCTTTATATGGTTAGGAACTTCGCTAAAATCTAGGGCGACAATAATCTGTTTCTCTAAATCACAGACTTTTTGTAAAACCGCATGGAAGTATTTTGAAATTGTATAGGTAGAGTGTTGAAATCTTTCTGCGACCACACGATTCCTTTCATTATGAGCTAAAGTAAGCAAAAATATGCCAACTTATTCATAAACACTTATCCCTGTAGAGTCTTTCAACCCTAATGACTTAAGCTCCCCATACAACTTTAAAAAAATAGGGGTGGACATCCTGAAATTTTCAAAACATCTACTTCCATGCCCATGCAAGATCTCCATTATATATGCTTCCCCGGTTAAAAGAGAATCCCTACAAGGTCGTTTCTCGTAGTGTTTCTTATAATAGTCCAACATACATGCCATTATGATGACAGAATCATTCTCCTCATCACCATCATCATACAAGTCAATTATTGTCCTAATATCCATCTGTATAATACAACATTTAATAAACAAGATAAATTACAATCATCTCAAGCAAAACACCATATAATAAATAAAAGCAAGACAACAAATAAAATCAAAGCAAGCGAAATAGCTATATTGTCATTACAATAAAACCAAATAACATAAATCCGAGTGTACTTAATATTACAATCAACCAAAGTCATAGCAAAACCAAATAAGAAATAAAAGCGACACACCAAAAGTCATAATACGTATTAGTACAGTCATCCAAAGTCATAATAAAACCATCCTACCAAGTCAAATTCCATTGATCCAACCAACCATCTTATCATCAGGAAGGTTATTAAGAAAGAAATCCCTCCAAACTTCATCATGACGTAACATCTGGGTGACCTTAGCATATTGCTTCATATCAACGCCCTCTAACTTATTCAAAATATAACAACATAATTTTAAATCACCTTTTGTCTTATCCGGAGAATTGACTTCAACCTGCCCAGCTTCGTGAACTGTTTTCATATTAGATGATGAAGAAGCGACTATGGCCCTTTCAATTCGATTTGTTTTCTCTCTATAAGTGTCACTCATTTTCTTCATGACACGATCCATTGTGGAGGCAAAACTCTCTCTCGTTGGTTTCTTACCACGTGGTTCAGGAGAAGGAGTGAACTTATAACGGCCTAACTCAGCAAAATCATCATTAAGGTCAAATGAGGTATGTGTGCCTTTATGGTATGCGGGGGCTTGGTTGAGAGTGGGTGGACTGTAGAAAGTATGGACATGTGCACCTGTAGTGTGTGTGCCTTCAAATATGGTGGTGAGCTTGTCAAAATGATTGCATGGCTTCTTTCGATACTTACCATATTGGGGATTCACCTACAAATTATTAAATTACTATAAATATGAAGTGAAATATAATTTTTTGTAAAATCAACATACATTTATTTGAATAACTAACCTTGATCAATCTAGCCCATCTTTCATTTTTAACTATAACCATGCCCGTCTCAGCATTGTATCCCACGCCTGTTTCTCCTAACAAACTCACAAAGGCTTTGTAGTCTACCCCCATGTGGTTGAATTTGCTCTTAAGTTGTTTCAGTACAAGTGTTTTGCCTGTACGGACCATCATGCCTTTTCGTATATTCTTCCAACCATTTGGACTAAAAGTTGTGTTATTCCGATTACCAGCTTTCACTTTTTCCTCCATACAGATGATGAAAGCTTCAATATGAGAATCATCCCATACTAGTTTTCCATTATCGGTATTGTCTGTAAGGTCCTCTATTTCTTCTACCACCACATTGTCAGCATTGATATCCATCTAATTACATAGTTTTAATAAAAATGTGTTAAAATGGTCATTAACATTGTAATCTTATTTTTAACATCGTCTTAACTACACAATTATCATCACGCCATTAAATGCAAAAACAACCTCACAATTATTATTTGGTTTATTTTTCAAAAAATAATATTCAAGTATTAAGGAAAAAAAAAAAACTTGTTTTTAAATAATATTTATCTGAAAATATGGTTTTTTTTAACAAATTTTTTTATTTTTATTTTTTTTAATTAGGTAAGGTATTCACAGTTTTACAAATATGACAAATTGTTCACTATGAGTTCGAATCCCTCACCTCCCTTAAATTATATCATTCGACTAATTTTGCCTTCTATTTTTTTGGTATAATTTTTTTATTTTTAATTCTCTTCAAACAGAAGACTGTTTTAAACCGAAGAAGCACTGAAATTTTCGTGTATTGTGTTTAGAGTCTTATTTTCATTTTGTTTTCCTTATTCAATCCATTCTAAGCTTGGTCAAAGAAAGCATTCAATTTCAGTCAATAATTCTTAACTATTTTGATTGTGAAATACTGAAATGTACTTCACAATTGTATGCCAGATTATTGTTAATATGAAATTAACAAACAAGGCATTAAATAAAACCCTAGCATGAGATCATTTATAGTTTTTTTCTTTATCTTCTAGACCTATAAAAGACTTAAAAAAAAAAAAAAAAAAAAAAACTCAACTGTATAGAGCATTCTAGGATGACCAACATAATTAGCACCAAACTGTTGAAACCTATATGCAGATTTCTGGACAAGGCAACGATCATTGACTGACAAAGATGCATCAATTTAACAAAAAAAATGCACACAGGATCATTGACGACAAAGATGCATCAATTTAACACACTGATCATTGACGACAAAGATGCATCAATTTAACAAAAAAATGCACACAGTGGCTATGCCTATATATATATACAATGCACAGGATCTAACACTGTCACTGGGTTGCAATCAAAACCTTCAACAGTCCACTGTGAATTTTTTGAACATTCCACCACAAAATCCCAATTATTGAACATTTTAATTGAGAGACAAATTAAAAAATAAAAGCAAGTTACAAGCTTTGTTAAAGGAGCAAGTGGCTTGGCAGTTTGATGGTCCGGCAAAGGCATAGTACACCATAAATAAAGAGATACAAAAAAGCATTCCTCGTACTGTCAGGCAACAAGGTCTTCATAAATAACCATTTTTTTCAAACAAACAAAAAATTTACTCACTTGGTGTCGACGATGAAGGTAAATAGACCGAGAATCGCCTGTGAATCCGAGAGTGCAGAGAGTAGCGGTGAAGCTTGGGTTCGCCGGAAATCGCAGAGGTCATAAATGGGAAGTCTTCAGATCTGCATACACAGTGGAACACCGAGAAGCCCGATCCTCATTATACAAAACAGAAATTTAGACAGAACACAATGACTCCATTTATGAAGAAGACGCAGAGGAACTCATCGGTGAGAAGAACACGTTACCGATAAGCTTCGTATTTCGTTCAATGGTGTCGATTTCAACCCTAGATCTCGAAAGCTTCAGACACAAAAGGGTACACTGTGAATTGCCTCAGTCATCTAGAGAGAACCCTAGAAATGTTCCACCGATTCTTAAATATGTGTTCTCAGAATTCCTGCACTTTGGGCTGTTGTACTCCTTTCTACAGTGAATAGTGGGCCGGCTGAAATTTGGGAACACTTTGGAACATGATTTTTTTGTTCCGGAAATTGGCCCAAAATCAAAAATTGTTCTAGCACTGTTGGACACAATACAGCCCATGCCAAACAAGTTGGTGTCTTCAATAGTGTCCATTTGCACTGTAGGGAAGGGCATAGAACAAGATAGAGCATCCCCCAAACAGGCCCTAAGCCTTTTTTTGGATTTTTGTGCAGATATGAGTTGGAAAGTTACATGGAAAAGTAAGAATAATGAATTGATTAAAATAAATAAACTAATTGTCAAAATGTCAGCACAATGGAAGCATAATTGCTAAAATATAGCATTTTGGATAAAATGTATTATTAGAACAGAATTACTAAAATATAGTATTTTGACATTGCACCTCCTCTTAAAATGACTTTATCATAAAAAAAATAATATTTTGCATTAGAGATTAATGGTGTATATTATAAGTTGGTCCCATCTGTCATTCTCTTGAATCAACATTTTCCAAAACAGGTACAATTTGTTTGTGGGCCTAGGCTGAAGCAAGAGGGTTAGGCCATAGGCCCAATTTGTGGGCCCAATTAAAAAAATGAATATATTGAATCACACAAGCCCCATCCAAAACAATGTAGGGAAAATTCCATCCTAGTCTCACTTTTCAAGTCCAAAGGCAATTTAGTCCTACATATTTTTTAGTTGGACAAAAAAGTCCTAATTTTAACCTTTATTTCCAAATTGGTTCAAATATATATATATATTTCTAAAAGTGCCCTTATTAGTACAGTGTATGTACAGTGTATTTCTTTGGTCTTAACCATGGTCATGTCACTCATGTCTTCTGCGCCAGCTTGGCCCTTATTAGTACAATGTTCGTTTTCGTCCGAATCCGGCGACAACACGGTCGCATCTTATTAGTACAGTGTAGCGTCTTATTAGTACAGTGTATTTCTTTGCTTTTAACCAATTCATCGACGGAGTCCCCGGTCGCGTCTTCTCCATCAGCTTGGCCGGAAACCCCGCTGTTAAACTGAGATCGAGATTGGAGAGCTCCAATTTCAAGAAATCGTCGGAGCGTCTCCGTTTGGGCGCCTTCAATCGCGATGTCGGAGTTAGATCTTGAAGCTACACGTTGAAACTCGTGTTGTCGCCGGATTCGGACGAAAACGAACCTCCACCGCCGCCGAGGAGCTCCAGAATCGGCCGCAAAACGCCGCCGTAGAGGACGGTTTCCACTGCCTTCTGGCACACGTGCCAGTTACCGGTCCAGAGGAGTCCGACGGCTCCATTCACCAAATTCACTATCCGGCCACACGCTTGAAACATAAGCGACTGAAAGAGATTTGTAACACAAATCAAAACACAATCCGATTATTGAAATAAAAAATTAAACAATTAGTCTATATTTTAGAGAAATAAAGAGAATCAATTACCATCCTTCATCTCCGCCGCAACAGAAGAACTTGGCGATGAAGTCGGTGGCGTGTTACAAACAAGGACGGATAATTAAGTAATTAGTTTAGGAGAAGTAATAACTAATAAGGGCACTTTTGGAAATATATATATATTTGAACCAATTTAGAAATAAAGGTTAAAATTAGGACTTTTTTGTCTAACTAAAAAATATGTAAGACTAAATTGTCTTTGGGCTTAAAAAGTAGGACTAGAGTGGAATTTTCCCAACAATTTATCCACTGGCTCATGTAATGTTCAAGATTCTGATCAGTCTGTTAAGAGGGGGCTATGGTCCACATATTTGTGTGAATAACGACGAAGAATCATGCCTGAAACTTCCAGTCAGATCATGTACACTAAGTCGACGGTGATGATTCATGCTTGTTCACATCCCTCACTCTTGGGCATACACTGCATGATCTAGCCTTCTCTTCTTTTCTCTATTCAAATTCTCTCTGAGTGTTTTCGTTTTGTTGTGTTTTAGGGCTTAATTTGGTTGTCAGTATTCAAATTAGTGGGTGTCGTTTGAACATTTCGGTAGAGTTGTCGATCGAAGAGCTTGAGATTGATTTAATCACTCCAATAGTACTTTAAGCTGATGAATCCCTAAGGTTTGTGCCCTTTTTTTTTAACTTTGAACTTAGAAAAAGAATTTATATTTATCGTTTTTAATGTTTCCATTTGCTGCTTCTAATTATTTAGATTGACCCAATTGGACTCTGTTTTCTTTATTGAACTTAGTTTTGGAGGCAATATTGTTACTTTTTGTATGCTCAATTGCTCACATGTATATATATGTGTGTGTGTGTGTGGGTGTGTCTGATTGTTTATGCCTGTTTGTTCATGTGTGTGTGTGTGTGTTCAAATGTATATCATTGTATATTTTGTTGCTGAAGGCATGCAAGGATCAGCTTTATGCACTGGACTTAAATGAAGGAACATGTTGAGTGCCAAAAATGGTTTTGTTTTGCCGTTCATAGGGTGTTAATTCTATATTTTGATGGAATTGCATCATCAATTTAACTTAAAATCCAGACCTAATTTCCTCAATTTGTACACTGTAAGTGGAATTTCCTAATTGTGGTGATTATGATTTAGATTACTTCGTGCACCAAAAGCACTCCTTTAACAGGATGAACTAGGCTCTGAAATAGTCCCCTCTTCTCCTCCTCTGTTTGGTTACATTTGTGAGTCCTTTACATTGGCTTTGCCCTGAACCTGTCCTTTCTTGTTGGCTCTGCGGCTTGTTTGTTTATTCCATTTGGGGTTGACTTTTATATCATCCCAAACTGAAATTTTTTTATTTTTTATTTTTCCTTTCTAATGTCTTGAAATAGGATTTGGTTGCGTAGACAATAATAAGGCGATCTGGATGGGTTAAATGATTCCATGGGGAGAGTATATAAGCTTTGCACAAACTTTGTCGAGATGAAGGGAGAACAAATAGTGTGCTATAATGCTTGGAGAGCATGGCTTTAGAGGAAATTTGTATGGCATTGCGAGCTCAATTGGACCAAATTAATTTTAAAAAAGAAAAAGAAACTTTGAAATTTGTCAAGATATATTGATGAAAGAAAATAAATGGAATCTAGAGAGAGAGGGAAGGGGAATTCAGGGGAAAAAATTAAGTGACTCTGTTCTAAATTATTAATTATCAAGAAAAATAGTTCAATAACTATATTTGGGCGAATGGAGGGAATCAATCGTTCTCATAAAGAAAAACCTTCGAGAACTAAGGTTGGCAACAAGAGGTCATTGTAGAAGGCTTGTTGAAGGTCTATAAGTGGGTAAAATTTACCGTTTTCAATTTCATTAAAGGGCTCTTTGATACCTTGATAAAAGCTCACTTTATTTTAAGGAAAATGAGCTATAGAAGACATCTCAATTAAATTAAATTCGCGGCTGAGTACTGAAGTTTTATGCCACTAAACATGTAGCAAAATTATCATTCATGTGTTGGGCAGTCCCTGCAAGTAGCGAGCCAGGTGTTGAAATGCCCAGCCTAGACACAAACAGGATAATTGTATTTCTCTTGGAATTTTTTCAAGTTAATGCCACACATTACATTGACTCAAACATAATAATGATGACAACAACTAACATCCAAAAGATTGGATTGCCAAAAAGAAACGTAAACCTTATTCCTATTATTGTCCAATCCACAATCTTGAAATCGTAGATGATACAGCCCCACGCTTCATTTCACTTTCTTTCAACTAGCTGATGGTTTCTTTGTTTTACTTTCTTCTTCAGTTGATGTTTCCTTCTCTTGCTCTTTCACTTCTTTGGCTGATGATTTATTCTTTTCTGATTCTTCCTCAGCCTTGAGCCTTGCTTCCTCTTTTGCCTTGTGAAGAGCTCTGATCAGAATCTCCAAGCAAGTTGTAGCATCCCCCGGAACAGTCTTTGGCATTAAATTTTCCGCAACATCTGCAGGTGTCATATTGGTTTCCTCCAACAACACACGAATTTGCACAAACAAATCGTGTGATTCAATATTAAGATAGTTTTTTGCAAGCATCCTGAAAGCTTCAAAGCTACAATATGACAATTCAATGTGCTTATCCATTCGTCCTCTCCTAATAAGTGCTGGATCCAATTTTTCAACATAATTGGTTGTAAAGACAATGAGTCTTTCTCCCCCACAAGCTGACCAAAGCCCATCAATAAAATTTAGAAGACCAGAAAGAGTAACGTTACTGGTTTTCGTATCTTCCTCTTCTTTTTCTGACTTCTTTGCTGGATCTTTCTCTTCCTCTTTCTCTTTCTCCTTCTTCTTCTTCTTCCGTTGTCCAGTAAGATCTACTGAACAATCAATGTCCTCAATTACAATGATTGACTTGCTTGATGTCTCTACCAAGAGTCTCCTCAGCCCAATGTTATCTCTCACGGCTGTTAATTCAAGATCATACAGATCATAACCCAAAAGATTTGCCATGGCAGCAATCAAAGTGGACTTGCCAGTACCTGGAGGGCCATAAAGAAGATACCCTCGCTTCCAAGCCCTCCCAATTCGCTTGTAGAACTCTTCTGCCTTACTGAATGTGATCAAGTCATCTATAATATCTTGTTTCTTATCTGTGTCCATGGCTAGTGTCTCAAATGTTGCTGGGTGCTCAAAAACCACATGACTCCAATAAGATCCATAGTTGGTGTAAAGCTTCCTCTGCCGGTTTCTGACCTTAATTGCCACACCCTCTTTGAGTACATGAGTCAGGTATGAGCCGATGACGAAATTCCGGTGCTTTTTGTGGAGAGTGAGCCTGTAGTGCCTCTTTTCATCGGTAACTTGGGGGTAAGAAATGGAGGGATGAGATTTGGTGCCATGTGTTCCAGAAGCCCACCAAAACTTGACTCCTTGGAACTCATCAGCTACCTCTTCGTTGTCGTCCATGCTCAGAGCCAGAGCCTGAGACGTGCTATTCTTGACAATATCAGCCTTGAGCCGCTTTGCTTGCAGAGATGCATTGGAGCTAAGGTAGTTCTCAATGGCTAAATAAGCTTCACTGCGCATGAAACGATCTCCAGTGTTTTCATTGAATCTGATTTGGATATAAGGGTAAAAGAAAGTGAACAATCTTTGAGAGTATTTCTCAATAGAGGTTCGAAGTTGATGAGGGAAGAATTGTTGAAACATCGCCCACACGAACATGAAACTAGCGACTATGGATCCTACATGCGTAAACCTGTCGGTGGTCGTCATGATGTTTGATCTATTTCTTCACCAACTCTTTCTTGAGTGAGTGTCCCTTAAAACTAGCTATACCAGTGTTCTTATATGCTAGTAGAAGGATGGGTGTAATTTAACTTGTGTGTGTGGTGGGTGGGTGAGTGTTTCTTTCCACGAAATTCATTGGTTTGGTTGAATCCTACGTGTAAACAACTCAGTTTTCCGAGACTGGTATTTTTTTTCTTTGGCTCTTTGCCGGGCTGGCCCCAAAGTAGGTTAAGGTGAGCCGCACTCACCGATTTGGCTTGTCTTATTTTACTTGACTAAAAGTCACATTGGCACGCAATTGAAGAAAAAAACACACACGCACACATTACTAGGGGAATCACGCACCCTACTCAAATTGTGGCATCAACCAATTGATGTCATTGTCATTCCGTCCAATGTTTTAAATTGCTTTATTATTATTTATTTATTCAAAAAAGAAAATGTTGCCTAAAAACATCAGGTAAGATGTAGAAAGGTCATGAAAAAGTGGGCTCTTCTTTATTCATTTTGATCTTGAACCATCCATCCCCTGTCAAGTCTCTCTCTTTAAAATACTTTCAAAGGGGGAGGAGATGGTTCAAGTGTGAACAACAAGTGTGTTTGAAAGGGTGGGATCCACCGAATGTATTAGCATCTCTCTTTTTTTTCACGGTTTAAAACTTGGCTGAATTTGACTTTGCTTCCCAAGCTATTTGTCCTAATGTATATATATCGCTTTTGCAGAGGACAACTAGGTGGCAATTTAAGGCGGGGCGAGTCGACTTCGTGCTGTGTCACGATTCCTTTTTACGAATATGATACGATAACTACATAATTATTCAATTTTGACAGAAATATGATACGATTATTATTCCGGTAATATAATATGACATGTGAACACGACAAGAGATGTTTAAGTTAGGTCATTTTTTACACGACATGTTTAACCGGCATGTGTAGTTAAATGAGTTAATTGAGCTATATAAACGCATTAGTGTGTATTTGAACATGAATATAAAAGAAAAAAAGAAAAGAATATTTCTATTGGTGGAAGTGGAAGAAGAAGAGAAACGAAGCCCCCGGGGGCGTAGTAGTCATGGTAGGAGCTCGGCGCTTGCACTCTACAGGCTAGTGTTCGAACCTTCCAAGCCTCCTATGTTCTTAATTCATCCAGTGTGTGGTTATGGAGCTGTGCTACATTATTCTCAGTTTGCCCCCATGGAGTGGAGTCCCTAAGAGACTTTGTTTAGGGAGTTTTGAAAAAAAAAAAAAAAATGAAACGAAGAACGGAAGGTTTGTAATTTTCATATTTGATTTACGGTTGAGGAAGAAAAAGAATGAAAAGAAGGGATTAGGAAGGAGGAATTGTTTGACTTCTCGGACTGCATTTTCTACAGTGAGAGGATTTGGTGAGAAAAAATGGTAAATTTAATAAAACTTTCAACATATCCATAGTAGCATTAAAATTGTAAGAAAGATTAATAAAATGACATTTGAATCTGTGAATTTTATTTGAAATTTGCATTCTCTATTCCATTTTAAACCCATGCTTTCCAAAATCAAATGAAAATATAATGTTCCCACTAAAAAGTATTTAATTTATTACTAAACCAAATTAAACATGAAAATACTAAAATCCAAATTCAAAATTTAATTGAAATTGTGGAATGAGTATCATCAATAAAATTTAATATAATAAACGAATTATTAATTAAGTGATTGAAACTCGGATTATTTTCAAACTCGAGAAGATTAGTGATCAATTTACATGCAATTAGTCAAGCAGCCGCAAACCTGAAGCAAAAAGAAAGTAAGGCCATAGGCCCAGCATAAAATAACAAAAACAAGCCCCTTTGTGGACCCAATTATAAAAAGGAATATGTTGAATCACAAGCCCGATCCAAAGCAATTTATCCACTGGGCCATGCAATGCTCAAGATTATGATCACTCCGTTACTGAGCTACGGTCCACATGCCTGAAGCTTCCTATCATATCATATACACTAAATCAACGGTGATGATTCATGCTTGCCCACATCCCTCACTCTTGGTTCAGATACACTAGATGATCTCTCCTTCTCTCTCCTCTCTCAAGTCCTTTTCCTTTTCTCTATTCAAATTCTTATTCTGTAGGTTTTCGTTTTGATGTGTGTTTAGGGCTTAATTTGATTCTGTATACAAGTTTGTGGGTCTCGTTTGAACATTTCGGTAGAATTGTCGATCCAACAGCTTGAGATTGCTTTAATCACTCCAATAACAATTAAGGTTTGTGCCCTTTTTTGAACTTTGAACTGGGAAAAAGATTGTATATTTATCGTTTTTTAATGCTTCCATTTGCTGCTTCTAATTATTAGATTGACCCAATTGAACCCTGTTTTCTTCATTGAACTTAGTTTTGGAGGCAATATTGTTGCTTTTTGTATGCTCAATTGCTCATATATATGTGATTGTTTGTGCCTGTTTGTTCATGTGTATACTGTATTTATGTGTGTATATGTGTCATTGTATATTTTGTTTCTCAAGGCATGCAACGATCAGCTTAGGAACATAAATTTATGTAGTGGACCTAAATGGAGAAACATGTTGAGTGCCGAAATGGTTTCATTTTTCTGTTCATAGGGTGTTAATTTTATATTTTGATGCACATGCATCAACAATTTAACTAAAAAGACACCTAATTTACTCAATTTGTAGGTGATTAGGATTCAGATTAATTTGTGGACCGAAAGCACTCCCTTAACAGGATGAACTAGGCCCTCAAATAGCCCCTTCTACTCCTTCTCTGTTTAGGTTACATTTCAGTCTATATATGATATTGGCATTGCACCAAACCTGTCCATTCTTGTTGGCTCTGTGACTCGTTTGTTTAATACATTTGGTTGACTTTTATATCATCAATAACTGTTTTTTTTTTTTTTTTAATCTTTCGAATGTCTTGAAAATCGAAAAAGGACTTGGTTGCATAGGGCAATAATTAAGGGGATCTGGACGGGTTAAATAATTCCATGGGGAGAATATATAAGCTTTGCACAAAATTTGTCGAGATGAAGGGAGGAAAAAGTATGTGCTATAATGCATGGAGAGCATGGCTTTAGAGGAAATTTGTATGGGATTGCAAGCTCACTGGAGCGAATTAATCAAAAATAAAATAAACAAAATTTGAAATTTGTCAAAATATATTGATGAAAGAAAATAAATGGAATCGCGAGAGAGGGGGAAGGGGAATTTAGTGACTATGTTCTAAATTATTAATTATGAAGAATTATTCGGTAACTATATTTGGGGGAATGGAGGGCATCAATCATTCATACAAAGAAACACAACGTTGGAGAACTAAGGTTGGCAACAAGTGGTCATCATAGAAGACTTGGTGAAGGGCTATAAGTGGGTAAAATTTACAGTTCTTAAGAATTTCAAAGCGCCCGGTGGAAAAATAAATAAATAAGCATTTGTATGCTGATGTGAATTAGTTGAAGAGTTGAGAGTGAGGTTTTATTCAACTGACTGTAAAATAAGGTTTCACAGTTTGCGAATGACATTTTTACTTTATTTTAATGTTTTAAAATTAAAAAAAATAACATATTTCTAATCATATTTTTAAGAATATTTCAATTCCATTAAAGGCCTCTTTGATACCTTGATAAAAGCTCAAATTTTCCTAAGCATGAATTCATTCAACCAGAAAAGAAACACAATACAAGGCAAAAGGGAGGGCATATCCTTCTTTTTTAACATATACCCTTTTTCTAGGGCCATCATTAACATATTTTAGAAGGCATTACCTTTTAAAAAAAATGTATAGTTTAATGTCATCAACTTCTGAGAGTTGTTTTAAAATAATAATAATAATAATCTTCTTTTGATTTTTTGTCTTTTATTGTTGCCACACATTCAAGTTTAGACTTCTGCCTGCTAAATTAGCTAAGAAAAATGAGCTATAGAAGACATCTCAATTAAATTAAATTTGCGGCTGAGTATTCTGAAGTTTTATGCCCTTAAACATGTAGCAAAATTATCATTCATGTGTTGGGCAGTCCATGCAAGTAAGCAAGCTGGGTGTTGAAATGCCCAGCCTAGATGCGTTAACGTCACCGATCGGCATGGTTTTGATCTATTTCTTCACTACCTCTTTCTTGAATGAGTTTCCCTTACAGCTAGCTATACCAATATTGTTATACTAGTAGAAAGATGGGTGTACCATTTCTTCTTCCTGACTCTTACTACCCACATGTAGCCTGACCACCAAATAATTTCTCCTGAGTTTTTTTTCCCAAGAAATTCATTAGTTTGACCACGTATTTAATTCTTGTACTTGGTTGGACCACATGGTCCGTAACCATCTAATAATTTCTCCTGAGTCTGCCTTCCTTACGAGAAATTCACCGTATTTAATTCTTGTACTCAGTTTGATTTATTTGTAATTATGCATCAGATATGCATCAACTGTGTGTGTGTGTATTTATAGGCTTATAGCTGTAATATGCAAGTTACGAGATCACCACGTGGGTCTGGAAATGACATGAAATCACCTCACTAGCTTTCAGATACACGAAATCACCACATGGAATCTGGAAATGATTTGAAATCACCACATGGAATCTGGAAATGTTCAAACCAGTACTAGAATTAGGATCTCTCAAGCTAAAATATATGAACATTTATCATTTAATTTTTACTTGCATGAAAAATGGACAAAATATTGTTCAATAATATTTAAGGATCAAATTGTCTTATTTAATATTGTTTTACCAGTGCATAAAGTCAGGGTTGTAAATTTAATAAAATAATTTCTTTTCTCTTCTTTACTTTTTAAAATAATAATAGAGGTTATTACCGTTCTTTCATTTCTTTTCCATTATAACTTATGGGTGAACTCTCTCAAAATTTCCTTGCATTTATTTATTTTTTCTTTTCTCACATATTATTCTATTTCTTTTCTTTTCCATCTTACTCATGCAAATGAAGCCTAAATCTGAAAACATACTCAAACGTTATTTTTTATTTTATTATTATCATTTTTTTTTTCCTGACAAGAAACGTACACCATCCACATGTTTCTTTGGGGACTTGAATCCTCAATCTTTTACTTTGGAAAGGGCTTGAACGCTGGCCAAGATAAGAGCCTGTAACTCATAACTGATGACATGTTTGGCTGTATTGCTTAAAATTTTAAAAATGAATATGTTGAATAACCACCCCAATCCATCCACTGGCCCATGAAATGTTCAAGATTGTGATCAGTCTGTCAATGGGCTGTGGCCCACATTGTGTGCAGAACAACAAAGAATCGGGCCTGAAACTTCCAATAATATGATATACTATACTAATTCAACGCTGATGATTCGTGCTTGTTCACATCCCTCACTCGTCGGTATACACTACATGATCTCTCCTTCTCTCTCCTCTCTCAACTTCTTTTCTTCTCTCTATTCAAACTCTTTCTGAAGGTTTTTCGTTTGGATGAGTTTTAGGGCTTAATTTGATTGTCTGTATTCATATATGCAGGTCTCGTTTGAACATTCCAGTGGAGTTGTCGATCAAAGAGCTTGGGATTGCTTTAATCACTCCAATAGCACTTAAGGTGATGAATCCCTAAGATTTGTTCCCTTGTTTGAACTTTGAAGTAGGAAAAAGAATGTATATTAATCGTTTTTAATGCTTCCATTTGCTACTTCTAATTATTAGATTGATCCGATTGAACCCTGCTATCTTTATTGAACTTAGTTTTGGAGGCAATATAGTTACTTTTCTAATACTCAATTGCTCATATATATGTGTGTGTTTGTGCCTGTTTGTTCATGTGAATATGTGTATATATGTAAGTGTATACATGTGATTGTATATCATTATATATTTTGTTGCTGAAGGCATGTTAGGATCAGCTTACGAACATAAATCTATGCACTGGACCTAAATGGAGAAACATGTTGAGTGCCAAAATGGTTTCATTATTCTGTTCATAGGGTGTTAATTTTATATTTTGATGGACTTGCATCAACAATTTAACTAAAAAATCAGATCTAATTTACTCAATTTCTACGCTATAAGTGGAACTGGGCCCTGAAATAGTCCCTTATTCTCCTCCTCTGTTTAGGTTACATTTTAGTCTATATATTGGCCTTGCCCTGAACTTGTCCATTCTTGGTTTGTTAATCCATTTGGGTTGACTTTTATATCATCCAGATTTTTTTTTATTTTTTTAACCATTTTAATGTCTTGAAATAGGATTTGATTGCATTGGCAATAATAAGGCGATTTGGATGGGTTAAATGATTGCATGAGGAGAGTATATTAGCTTTGCACAAACTTTGTCAAGATGAAGGGAGAACAAATACTGTGCTATAATGCTTGGAGAGCATGGCTTTAGAGGAAATTTGTATGGCATTGCGACCTCAACTGGAGCAAATTAATGAAAAAAAAAAAAAAAACTTATTTGTCAAGATATATTGGTGAAAGAAAATAAATGGAATCTAGAGGGGAGGGGGAAAGGGAATTCAGTGACTTTGTTCTAAAGTATTTTTTATCAAGAACAATAGTTCAGTAACTATATTTGGGGGAATGTAGGGAATCAGTCATTCTCATATAGAAACATAGCGTTGGAGAACTAAGGTTGGCAACAAGAGATCATCATAGAAGGCTTGGTGAAGAGCTGTAAGTGAGTAAAATTTACAGTTTTTAAGAATTTCAAACTGTCCGATGAAAAAATAAATAAATAAATAAGCATTTGTATGCTGAGGTGAAGTAGTTGAAAAGTTGAGAGTGAGGTTTTACTCAACTGACTATAAAATAAGGTTTCATAGTTTGCTCTATTATAGTGTTTTAAATTTAAAGGGAATAATATATTTGTAATCATCTTTTTAAGAATATTTAAATTTCATTAAAGGGCTCTTTGATACCATGATAAAAGCTCACTTCAATTTTCCCCCCCTAAGCATTAATTCATTCAACCAGAAAAGAAACACAATATAAGACAAAAGGGAGGGCATATCCTTCTTTTAAACGTATACGCTTTCTCTAGTGCCGTCATTAACATACTTTGAAAGGCATTACCTTATTGATGCCACATTCAAGTTTAGACTTCTGCCTGCTAAATTAGCTAAGGAAAACGAGCTATATAAGACATCTCAATTAAATTAAATTTTTCTCTGAGTATTCTGAAGTTTTATGCCCCCAGACATGTAGCATCTGAAGTTTTATGCCCCCAGACATGTAGCAAAATTATCATTCATGTGTTAGGCCCGTCCCTGCAAGTAGCAAGACAGGTGTTGAAATGCCCAGCCTAGACACAGACAGGATAATTGAGTTTCTGTTGGAATGTTTCAAGTTTATGTCACACATAACTTAAACATTGACAAGTTTATGGCACACACAACTTAAACATCGAATTAAACATTATAATAATAAGTTTATGCCACACATAACATAAACATTGACTTAAACATAATAATAATAATAACTAACTTGCAAAAGATTGGACTACTACAGTAATTCTTGTCATGAAGAAACAAAAACCTTACCTATTATCTTGTAATCTTTAGATGATACAGCCCCCACCCCTTGTTTCACTTTCTTTCAACTAGCTGATGATTTGTCCTCATTCACTTCTATAGTTGATGGTTTCTTTGTTTTACTTTCTTCTTCAGTTGATGTTTCCTTCACTTCTTTTGCTGATGATGATTTTTTCTTTTCTGATTCTTCCTCAGCCTTCAGCCTTGCTTCCTCTTTTGCTATCTCAAGAGCTCTGATCAGATTCTGCAAGCAAGTTGCAGCATCCCCCGGAACAGTCTTGGGCATTAAATTTTCCGCAACATCTGCGGGTGTCATATTGGTTTCCTTCAACAGCACCCGAATTTGCGCAAACAAATCGTGTGATTCAACATTAAGATAGTTTTTTGCAAGCATCTTGAAAGCTTCAAAGCCACAGTAAGACAATTCAATGTGCTTATCCATCCGTCCTCTCCTGATGAGTGCTGGATCCAAATTTTCAACATGATTGGTTGTAAAGACAATAAGTCTTTCTCCCCCACAAGCCGACCAAAGCCCATCAATGAAATTTAGAAGACCAGAAAGAGTAACCTTACTGGTTTTGGTTTCGTTCTCTTCTTTCAGCTTCTTCGCTGCATCATCTTTGTTTTTATCCTTCTTCTTCCGCTGTCCGGTAAGATCTACCGAACAATCAATGTCCTCAATGACAATGATAGACTTGCTTGATGTCTCTATCAAGAGTTGCTTGAGCTCGGTGTTATCTTTCACAGCTGTTAATTCAAGATCATAGAGATCATAACCTAAAAGATTTGCCATGGCAGCAATCAAAGTGGACTTGCCAGTACCGGGAGGGCCATAAAGGAGATACCCACGCTTCCAAGCCCTCCCGATTCGCTTGTAGAAGGCTTCTGCCTTACTGAATGTGATCAAGTCATCCATAATATCCTTTTTCTTATGTGGCTCCATGGCTATTGTCTCAAACGTTGCTGGATGCTCAAAAACCACATGACTCCACGAAGATTCATAGTTGGTGTAAAGCTTCCTTTGCCGGTTTCTGAGCTTAATTGCCTTACCCTCTTTGAGTACATAACTCAAATAGGAAGCGATGACGAAATTGCGGTGCTTCTTGTGGAAAGTGAGCTTGTAGTACCTCTTCTCATCACTAACAGGGTAGTAAGAAAAGGAGTGAGATTGGGAGACCTTTTTCCCAGAAGCCCACCAAAATTTGACCCCTTGGAACTCATCAGCAACCTCTTCGTGGTCGTCCATGCGCAGAGCCAGAGCGGTGCTATTCTTGGCAATATCAGCCTTGAGTCGCTTGGCTTGCAGAGATGCATTGGAGCTAAGGTAGTTCTCAATGGCTAAATAAGCTTCACTGCGCGTGAAACGCTCACCGATGAACTCTGAGAAATTGATTTCAATATAAGGGTAAAACAAAGTGACGAATCTCTGAAAATATTTCTCAACAGAGGTTAGAAGTTCATGAGGGAAGTATTGTTGAAACATTGCCCACACGAACATGAAACTGGCGATTATGGATCCTACATTCGAAAAAAGGTCGCCGCCGGTGGCCATGCTTGTTTGATGTATTTCTTTCTTCCACACAAACACCACCTCCTTCTCTTTCTTGAACGAGAGTGCCTTAACCTTACCCTCTCTATACCCACTTGTATTCTTTTGTACAAGAGTGGGTGTACCATTTCGTCCCTGCTCTCGTACTTTGTTGGGACCACGTCTTCCTCATAATTTATGTAGCCTTTTCTTCACAATATACTCATTTGTTTGACCAATTTGTACACGGTTTAAATGTATTTGTATTTCCCCATAATATTTCCTATTTAGGTAAACCTCTTAAATAGATTTTTTTATTATTATTAATTTAATTTTTTTTTCCAAAAATACTTCTTTGAAAATGTCTCATGAAAAATAGACACCAGCATCTTAATTTCTTAAATGGCTAATCTACGTCCTCTGGGTTTTGGATTACGGAATTCTATTAATTCGTCAGGGGGTTTTAAAAATAATTATTAATTAATATATAAATTTATAATTTTTATTAATTTTAATTTTTCTTTATTTCTCACATAATTTTAATTTTTCATTATTGCAACAGACTTGTTTATCAATCAAATATCCGCAAAGCCCACTTAGAAAATTGGGAGTATTCTTTGTGAGAAATCATATTCACTTTAATAATATTTTAAAAATTGAATAAATAAATAAAATTTAAATGGAAGGCGTTTATTCTATCGACGTTTAAATGGTCTAAAATTATTACAGATATCCAGCTAAAACTATAACAATATTCATTATTTCGGGAAAAAAAAATACCCTTTGATTTTTAAATAGTAAATTTAATAAAATTATTCCTCCTTTTTTCTTAAGATAAGAGCTATTCTTATTTGTCCAAATGAGTCTAAAAACCAGCTTTAATTCGAACAAAGCTTCCAAACATCCAGATTAAATTGTAATTATGCCCCAATAATTGATCCGGTCACATTGGCAGAAAATTATTGTTTATTGATTAATATGAAAGTTAAGATTTGTTAAAATTCTAGATCGGAATTAAAAATTTTAGATTTAAATTCTAACTAGTAATGCCCTCGTAAGGATTGTAACAACAATCCACGTTTTACTCTTCTGTTCAGATAACATGAATTTTCTTCTCATAGATTTTTAAAAAATCTCTGAAGTCTGACATGTGAATTTAATTCATAGATCATCATCACAGAAGAGTTTATAACAGAAAATTAAACATATTAAAAGATTAAACTAATTAGGAAAAAATGGCTCTCATGATATTTCAATAAAAATGTCTGCTCATGTTCTCAGTCAGAATAGCGTATACTGCCAAAAAATTAGGCATGTAATCATTGAGCCACTTCTTTCGCCATAAATAAAAATAAACCCTAATTTTGCAATTCAAGCATCCAACCACAAAAACATAAAATATAATAATAAAACCCTAATTTTCCAAATAACCGTATAAAATAATAATAATCAAATCAGGAAAAATAAGCAAATGGAGATCAGAGTTTGGTTTAGATTTGTCGGTCACGGTTAATTCAGAAACACGGACCAATTGATTGCTCATCATATCTCCTGTAATTTCTATTGTGATTCATGGATTCAGAAATTGTAAATCCATTGATTGGAAAAAATAATTTAATACACAGAAGGAAATTTTAAAATAAAAACAAAAAACCTACCGAAGAAAGCAAACATGAGAGTTGTAAAATATATATATATATGGAAAAGAAATCATCAGAGACTTAAATACTACGAATCATGGAACTAACCAATCATATTGTTGCAGTTTTTTTCTCATCAATTGATTTCCTTCCATTCAGTAAAAGCGCATACAAATTGAAACAACGAAAACACTTTCTTCTGTGTTCGTTTGATTGTGAGAGTGTGTGTGTGAGAGAGAGAGAGAGTTGGGCTAATTGCCGATCTAGGTTTAATCGTGTTTCGTAGAAACCCTAACGCCACAGAAAAAGTAATAGGTGAAGAGAAGAGCCACTCGTACATCGATATATATAGCCCACTTGTACAGAGGAATGATGACATTTTATCCTGAAACCCTAGATCCAGCGGCGCGACTGTCTTCTTATGTTATCTTGACCGTAGGGACTGTAAGATGAAAACCGTAGGCGAACCGAACCACAAAAAATAAGAACGCCCAATTGTATTAGGGGAAAATTACACTTATCCCCCTCTAATTAAGGTTTATTACATTTACCCCTCCTGTACCCCACTTCTGTTGTCATTAACAGACAGACATAAACAAACAAGCAAGCAAGACATTGTTGGTCTTTTGTTTGTCTTGGTTCTGGGCCTTGGGCCGTTAAAATGTTTCATCTCATTTGTTTGGGCTTTCTTGTTCCCCAACTTGCTTGGGTTTGTTTGGGCCAAAGGCCATCTCTGTACAGTTCTCTTTTAATTTATATATTAGCTTCACATTTGGAGAAAAAAAAAAAGCAAGACACTGTTTATAAGTGCTTGTGTAAAAAGACAATTGTACTCCTAGCTCGTGAGTCAATCTAATTTTCTTTATTTCGTAATGAAAAAAATCACACGTGTGTATGTAGGAGCAATGTTTTGTCCAAAATGATTTGTTTGATCTTACACTACGGTTATTTGTTTCGGTGTAAAATATTTTTTTTTGATTTTTAGGTAAAATAATTATTTTTTTATATAAGTGCTTGGGTTTATTTGGGCCAACGGCCATCTCTGTGCAGTTCTCCTTTATAAGTGTTTGTGTAAAAAGATAATTATACTCCTAGCTCGTGAGTCAATCTAATTTATTGAGGAAGTAATTTGACGAAAATTGATGGATAAATTACTTTTATTAAATTTTACTCCGTAATATGTATTTTTTCATAAATATTTTATGATAACCAAACACCAAAAAATATAAAAATATATATTTAAAAAAATATTTTACATCCAAACAAATATATATATTTTTAATTCGTCAACTCTCTGAATAAATTAATGTACTTTATAGTAAGATGAGCTTTGACCAGTGTGATTGGTATGATTAACGGGATGATTAACTTCAGACAATCTAAGTATGATCTTTGCTTATGTTTAGCAACTAATCAAATTATTTTTTAAATTTTAAAATAGAATATTTTATTTAACTAATTTTAAATTTAACTCCATACAAACATAACTTTTGGTTTTGATGTGATTCATGATATCTAGTATCCTTAACATATATATAGGATTCTTACTGTCTATATGGTTCAAATTTTTGTAAACAAAACTGGTTTAAGAGAACTATAAAAACATATTTTCTAAAGTTGAATTTTTTTAACTCTATTTTTAGATAACAATTTTCATAAAATTATCAATCAAACGAGTGCTTAAACTATATAGTGTATGTTCTTATACTAATCCAACTGATACATAGAAAGAAAAAAAAAAAAACGTAATATATAGGCAATATAGAGTGTTAAGGTTTGTCTTGTACATGCCTTACAACTAATCCCATGAGCAATATAAAAAGATGAGGGCTTAAATTTTAATTAAAAAAAATTACTACAGATAGATTGAAGTTGCTCCCAAAGCCCAACAAAAGATGCCACCTCCATGTCCAAAAAAGCCAGCTACTGATATCCTGCGGGGAAGGGATGCAACAAAAATGAGGTCCCAACAAGGAAATAATTATTTTGGATATCCACTAATATATTTATAAATTAGTAATTGTGTCACCATGAAATGCAATTTAAACATTACTGACACTATGTAGTAGAGATTAGAGAGATAGAAAAGGTTTATCCACATAACATTAAATATCAAATATTAATGATAAAAAATAAAAAATAAAAAGTAAGTTCTCCTCATAACAGAGATTTTTCTAGATATAATAAACATTCAACAATGCATATTACCAACCTCTAGTTCTTCCTCCTCTTGTGCATTTTCCACTGCTTCAGAATATAAGAGAGTACTTCCCTCAATGTTGCTTTCTTTCCTTGTTTGAAATTCCATAGCTCTGGTACCGTGTACCTTCCACTGGGGTTATACTCATTCATCTCCATCAGGGCACTTGTCACAGCAGAGTATACCTCATCACCACACTCATTTTTCAGACCTTTCAGTTTTTCATCCTCTTCATTGATAATTTCCTAATCAACCACACAAGTTTAACCATATAATTACCATTACACACAGCAAGTTGCTAATTTGCACCTTAATCTCATATTGATTCCACTTAAGGATGTACTATTGTTTTTATCCCTCCTATCTTTTAATAAATAGTAATCAGTGAAAGAAAAGTATCCTTGAAAATTTTAACAATATCTATTGGAATGATCGAATAAATTTAAATTTTAAAATATGTGCCTATCCAATGTTTTATCAAGTGTGCAGCTGCAGAGGGAAAATTGTCAACCAACAATGCTACTTCAAATGCATAAGCATGTTGAAGAGGGAAATATTACGGTAATTAAAAATAATAATTGCAAATGTTACTCAGAAACACATACCTTATGGTCCTCACAGCCCTCAACTGTGATGATCTTAAATGGATGCCAGTTCGGATCCCTTAGGTAATCCTCCCACAATGAACAAAGCTCCAAAGCCTTTTCCTGTGCTGCTTCTTGTTTAGAGTGTTTTCTCTTGGTTGAAAGTTGGAATGCAGCACTGTCAAGCTCTCCCATCCGTTTGACACCAATAGATGCACGGGAAGACTGGTCCTTGAAGAACTGCCAGGGAAGGAAATAACTTGTAAGCCACATAACAGAAGGTATCTCACACGCATTTTTTTTTTCAATGATTCTCTTTTTTCAGCATATGCAAATTAAGAACAACAAAACACATTTACCTTTCTTTTCCATTTTATGAACTACATCATGGTTAAAGATTCATAATTAGTAAGATGTTAACACCATTGTCTTTTGGGAAAGACACCTTATGAATCAGTACCGGTAAATTCAAATCGTGAAAAGGTGTTAGAACTTTTAAATAGCTTTGCATGCCACTTTATAGTTTATAGAATTCATCTCAACGGTTCCAATTTCCAACCTTGCAAATGTTCTTTCACATAAGGTGCTGACATAAGCAGCAAAACTGAAAATCTTTCAAAGTTTAAAGTCACGGATGTGAAGATTCAGATACAGCAACTAATGCGGCAGATGAGCTCTAAATCTCTATAATCTTGTCAGTGACAGCTTCGTCAGAAATTGAGAAAAATTTTACAGAGAAAAGACTCAGAACATATCTACAGTCCATTAACCCAATGAATATATGCATTTGTGACATACCAGAAGAGACTGTCATCTGACTCATTTCCAGAAAATCCCAATTACCTGAACGGCTGCCTCATTAAAGATGGCATCTTTTGCATAAATTAAATTCTCATCAGGCATCATTTATCAAGCTAAGGCCTATCGTGCTCTATAGATGGTTTATCAACTTGTTTTTACACCATGCTTTCAGGATAATCCCATAAAGGCACTCATTGCATGCTTTTTTCTGGCATCTTATTCTTAAATTTAGGCAAATATGCATTTTCAGGTATAATGCACTTAGCAGAGTATAGAGAAGTAGGAAGTAGTCGCCAGGCAAGTTCATGCACAAGTTCCCCATACTTTCTTAGTTTATTGTTTTGTTTGTTGATCACTACAGTGAGCACTCATTGCTAGCTGTGTAGTTCGGCCGTGAGAGATAGGAAAAAGGATGAAGAGGAAAGTAAAAGAGAAAACTATCTTAGGGGTGTTCGGCCATCAGTAAACCTGAAATGATACTATTGGTGTTTAAGGCAAGACAAAGTTCTAGCTATTTCTTTCCATCTTCAGTTTTCTGGTCCTCTAGAATCCTTAAGGCTGTGTTCTGGACAGACTAATAATAAAAAGCAAATTTAAATTCCTTATTTTGGGTGCAGGTGTGCATTTCAGTTCAGACTTCTCAAATGCCAAAATATTAGCATAGAGGAAACAAGCTGAATTCTTCAACTGTCCAACTTTTCTCCACCATAAACCTTCAAGCACGTGAAGTTTTTGTATAGCACCATGCAAGATATGGATATTTCAAAGTGCACTTACCTAACAGAGAAACAAAATAAGTATCCTAAATAACTTCTACTGAGCTAGGAAGTTTCTCCTCTTTTTCGTTGTGAATTGTCAAAACAATCACGAAGAGTACGTGTTCAAAATCATGTGTGCATGTTATCACACGCATCTCGTTCAAATTTTCACATCACATTTTGAAGTGAACATGTATCATAACCGTGTTTGGGTCCTTTGAATTAAGATAAATGACAGAAGGAGATTGGGCCATGTGTACAATTAATGTGAAAAGGAGTGCATGAGTTATGAGAGATCCTTGGGAGGTTAAATTCCTGCATTTTTTGACTAGAAATATTTGCACCTGCAAGAGAAATGTGAAGAAAGAAAACCACTACTTACATTAATTAACTCCTTTCGGGCTTCTTGCAGCTCATCATTGCTTTTGCGCTCCTTGACAATGAGAGCTTGACTCAATGCTTCTAGGTTTTCAAGTTCCTCTTCCTTCTCTTTCAGATCTTCTTGGATTACATCCATCTTTTTCTTGACTGCTGTATCCCCTTCCTCTCCTTCTCCTATGTGTTTCATTACTTGTAGAGCCCCTCTCATTTGCTCTATCTCCAACTCCAGTGCTTGTTTGGCATCAAGCTTCTTTTCTAGGTCAATAATTCTTTTGTGGAGTTTTTCTTTCTCCCTCTGCAATTGAAGTCACATTCACATGATAAAGTTCAAAAGATTCTAGACAATCGTAATTTTTTCTCCCAGGTGATTTGAGTCAAAACAAAAAAATGAGTAGAATACCTTTTGATCATCAGCCAACCTTAACACACTTTCATCCACCTTCTTTTGCTCCAAGGTTGCTCTCTCATTCTAAAAGGACAAAGCAAATCTGTTACCATTGTTGACAAAAATTCAAATGTCTGTTATCTAGCCTACTGCAATACCAGCCAATACCCAAGGCAAAAGCTAGGATATACCATCCAATCTCATTATAAGATAATTATTTTCCTGTGCAAAAGAGAAGGAACACATATTGGAGATATTGAGTGTCAATACCAATGCATGTATGTATGTATATATATATATATATATATATATATCAGTTCCCACTCCATTTTGCTCTAATTAAATCAGTCCACTACTCAAAACAGGTTCAGATGTATACAGAACATTTTAATTAAAATCTAAATAATTAGACATACGAAAAATGAATATGAGGAACATTTCTTATCGATATGCAAACTGTTAGATTTCCTTTTTCCTCATAAGTTCTAGCATCTGCTAAATGGCACAAACTTTGTATCTAAACCTACTTAGTAAACTAATTGAGTTTGCCCCTGTAGCACTTTCAAAAATTCCAAATGGTCACAGTTTAAATCAATGAGTCAACCAGGATGAAGGTGGGGGTGTCATTATTTCGTTCAATTCTACCTAAAATGGAAGAAAATGGAATACAAGATGCAGTACCATTTGCTTCTCACAATAGAGCATCCTTCTCTCATTTTCGTTTTGGATCTCTCTTTCCATCAATTCCTTCTGACGCTGCTTGAGTTCTTTGCTCTGGGCTTCCAGATGCAAGGTGATCCTTTCATGCTCCTTGGAGATTCTTTCAAGTTGATCCCGTGCATTCTGCTGCATCTTTTGCATTTCTAGTTTTCATTAAGTTAAAAATAATACAGTGAGATTGGTAAAGAAGAACAAAAGAAATGGAAAGAAATCAGCAACTAATTAGTTGTTGCACACTAGTGACGCACTCAGGCTATTAGCATATTAAAGAGTATGTACCTTCATTATAAGCTCGGTGCATTTCATCTTTTTGACCGATCAATTTGCTTAGGGATATTGATGTTTCATTATATCTACACTCCATCTCCTTAATGTGCATCTTTTTGGCCTCAATAACATTAGTGAGGTTGGACAAAAGTTTTTTAGTTTTTCTCTCCTCTTCTTCTTCAATATCAGCAATTGTTCTCAGATCCCCACTCTTTCTGAGATGTTCACCAATGATACTTCTGGAATGAAAGTCGCCATCCCGTGCAACCCATCCATACAAGTTGTCTCCAAGGCATTTTGCTCCATAATAATCTATCTTTCCCCTGTGATCTGCTTCAAAGGTTTTCTCAAACACCATTGCGTTATTGAATCCGGGCCAATCTTTGTGAAACTCAACTATTGCAAACCCCGAGTGACCTCTATAGTTCCATAGAGGATGAACCTTCAAAGGGTTAAAACCCTTCCTTGCTAGATCTTCTCTGAGCTTTGAGCCACTTCCCCCAATGTACCTTCCATCCTTCCACTCAACGGGAATGTTAGCTACAATTCCCCTCCAAGGCCAAACAAACAGCTCATTCACATCATTGCTCTTGGCATACTCCCTATCCTGTCTTGTGGATTCTGGTGGTGACCATTTCACATCAAGGTACTTTCTCATATACCTTGCTAAACCTAAATGCTTCCCCTTCTCTTTTAAACCCCTCTTCTGTGACCCCTTCCCAACACCATTTGCGTGCTGTAGGAGGTCCTTGTATGCATAATTCTGCCTCTTCCCAAGACAATACGGGCATCTATATTTTTCATCTGAAATTTGCACCTTAACACTACCATTCTTCAACTTCTCATAACATTTATAAGTATAGTCCTCCAACTCCGACTCGCTAATATCTGTTTCCTCTTCTGATGAGTAAGACATTTCCTAAATGAAATAAAACCGTCAAAAGATTACCACGCATTGTAGGGGAAAAAGAAAAAGAAACCAGTTTTTTTGTAACCATTATAGCAGTATTCAGGGTCAGTTGAATGTAAAATTATACTTTGTGGTCAGATATCTTGCAACACTCATTAACCACACTGTCTCTGACCCCCCCCCCCCCCCCCCCCCCCCCCCCCCCCCCCAAACAGAGTATACCGAAATAAGCTATATACTGTAGAAGTATTAGTATCATTGATTAACATTTATATTTTCTCTCGGTCACCAAAAATGAAAATAATCTATGTCACAACATATGTTAAGCTTGAATCATCTCTTCCTTCTGCCAAATCACATTAGCCCCCTAAAAGAATAATCATAATAAAAAAACAGTCCTACTAAACTCAAATTACTGAAATATTTTACATTAATCCTCTGTTTCGTTGAGCGAAAAAAATGGAAAGAAGAAAGATACGAAACCATAAATTTCATACGGAAATGAAAACGAAATAATTAGCATAAGTAATCTGTTCTTCCCTACATATTCAAATCTACAAAGCAGACCATGTACAATACACATGAAGAAGTTATCAGAAAGTAAAATAAAATCGAATTGCTTTATAGATGATGCTCAACCACATATTCAAATCTACAAAGTAGACCATATACAATACACATGAAGATGTTATCAGAAAGTAAAATAACATCGAATAGCTTCATAGATGATGCTCAACCACAGAAACTTTGTACCGTTTAGCTTCTTGTTACAAAATCATTTTAAACCAAAAAAATCGTGAACAATGTCAGAAATAAGCAAAGCTGTATTTCCTCTGGTCCTCAAGATAAAACGAAAATGAAAGTACCAAAATAAGCTATATAGAAGTATTAGTATCATTTATCAACAATTTTATTTTATTTCAGTTGCGAAAAAATGAATATAACCTCTCTCAGAAATCTCATTTCATCTAATCCCTCTAATTTTCTCCTCAACCAAACAGAAGATGTAACTCAGGAAAAATAAAACGGAGCAGCAGGTCAAATAAATCGCAAGTATTACAATATACACCAAAAACGAAATCGGAAATCGATAAAAGAAAAACAACATACGAATATATGTGTGTAAACTGTAAATATTAACAATGGAAAAGCAATATTAAATCTGCTAAGTCACCTGTGGAAAAATGCAAGAAAAAACTGGCAAAAACTTCTATCCAAAAGAGAGAGCTCTCGAGGGTTTGAGAGAGAGAGAGAGAGAGAGTAGAGAGAGAAAAGAAGGTTGTGCTCCTTGCATATGCAGGAACGAGTACGCCTGCTGCTCTGCTAAGGAGTGGAGTGGCGCGATAACGACGCTCTGTGTTTCTTTTCTTGGTGTACAATTTTGGCACGTATGACTTGTACGCGCGGTCGAGTGGGGTGGATGGTTTCTTAGTTGTTTCACATGAAATCCTGAACACGTGGCGACATATCGCAGCGAGTGTTTTATTTAAGAAGTCGATTGCCAGTAGCGATGTTTTTACCGTTTTAGAGATGGAATATTTGATCCTGTGGGACCGTGCGTGACTGTTGGCACTCAGAGTTGCCGATTTCGTGAATTGAAGCAAACTTTAGAGAGGTGGTTCCAAATTTCATCCTTGCTCACCAAGAAATTAATTTTTATTTTTATTTTTATTTTTTTGGATTTGGTAAACCCATCATCCTAAAGCATTTGATTATACGAATTTAGTGGATTGGACTTTAAAGAATTATAAATAAATAAAATAAAAAATTACAGTGAGGTACCCATCAATTCATCCATTAAAAATCAAAATTAAAGTAGAATGGAAAAAGTGATTAGAATAACGATATGAAAATGATTCCTTTGGTGAAGTTCTCATTGCATCTCACGAGTTTTTTTGGACAAATTAAGCAGATTAATGTGACATCCGCCATGTTTGATTGCTTGCAAAATTATAGTAATTTGAAGCTCCACAACACAACCTTCAGTGAATCAGTGCCACGTGCTGACATGAGTATGGCATTGATGGGAGCACGTGCCCTTCAAGTCATTCGCACACTTTTGGGGTGAAGGATACAATAGATTGTTGTATCCATAACCAAACGACGAAGCTAGAAAATTATTATAAAGGGAATAGTCCTAAACTAAAAATAAGATTTAATATTTTAAACTATACAAATAAATTTGGTTTTATCAAAAATTTAGTGGGGTATTATAAGAATTTTAACAAAATCTTAGGAATTTAAGGCAAATAAAGAGAATTTGAATCCCACGATGAGCCCCAGTCTAGCTCCGTGCATTTCCATCACCATCAACCAAACTTAGATTGTAAAATCTTGGCTTGAAAAAAAAAAATTAAAAAAATCAATTTTCCAAGAATCATATATATATATATATATATATTATGAAAAATATCAGCTCTCCGTGTTTCTTCAATTGTTGAGACCTAATGAACTCTTCAATTTTTGCTTTCAGCTCAATGTCGGGAATCATCAGCATGTCCGAAGTAAGATGGGAACGATTGAATGGATCAGTCTGCAAGATCACAACATCAGCCTTCAATACAACCAACTAATTTTAGGGGGACCATAACAATTTCCCCACCTTAATCAAATTATAAATTAAAATGTTCTAAAAAAAAACATTTAGGAATCAAGAAAAATAATGTAATCCTAAAATTTTGCTCCCTGCAATAATATTTCCTTTTCCGTCCTTTTTAATTTTCATGGTGACAAAACATGGAAAACTGATTTTTTTATTATTATTTATTTATTTTTATAAAGCCTATTCATTTGAATCATTTCCTCATCAAGTTGGCAAACCAAATTGGCAAACCAAATGGAACATAGATCAAAGAGAGGTAAAAGTAGAAGTGAATATGTACATTATCACTTAGAAGATGCCTTTCAATGACGGGACGATCTACTGTGATTCTTGAAGAAGGTAATATAACCGGATCCTTCATTAAGAAGTTCAACTAGGCACCCTTTTCCTCTTCCTTGGCAATCTGGAACAGCATAAAGGACTCAGATGGAAGTTCATTTATATCAACTGAAAAGGCACGTAGCAGAAATTTCAATACAAAGCAGAGCATACGGATGACTATACCTGTCTCCACACATTGCGGTGACTAGGAACCTGCCATAGGTATTCTAGAAGTTCGGCAATATTATGGCGGATGTTAAACTTGTCATAGAACTGCACAAGATGCAGAGGAAAATTCCAATCAAAAAGAAAGAAACGGAAACTTTCTGTTTATGTCAACATTGGAAACAAACTAGTTTTTGATCAATAGAGAGAATTCAAGAAAAAGTGGAGGGCAGAGGGGGGAGTGAATAATTTGGATCATGTGTTTGCCAGCAACATAATACCAAGAAATGATCTTGGAACACTACTCAAACTAGACCACCTTATAAGAAAACAAAACCTTGCCTATTTATAGGCTCCTACTTCTCAAAGTGAGGTCAGGGGTTCGAACCTCAATGGAGGCAGTGTGTGTAAGTCCCAACTAGGAAAAAAAAAAAACCCTTGCCTATATATCCCTGCACCCAATCCAAAATGCAAAACTTCGACAGATTCTTAATTACTTTGATCCAAGCAATTTACACAAGTTACTCCTGTCCTGGAGGCAATAGGGGCAATTTTGAGATTTATTTCTCATTGGTAAGGCTCGAAATCATGCCCAAAGTTTCAACGTTGTCTTGTTGAACGGTCTGGAGAACCTATAGGAATATAGGATTCCAGTGCATACCAAAATTAAAGGAAACCCAAATGTGGTTATTAGGCTTGCACATGCCCATTGATGAATACTGCCATCATCCTTTTTCATGCTTGGCCAGCATTGCCACATATTTTCCACTAGGTGGGGAAAAATGACCAGCCAAATAATGAGGAACAATTTTGATGAGATTTAAATTAATTAGTGCCATGTAAAATAAAGAGGCACAAAAGAAAAATGATTTATATATATATATTTAGAAAAAGGAGTCTCAACAGAAACAGCAAGCTTCTAGAATTGTGATTCATATTTGCAAGTCTAACAATATATCTTTATTATGTACAGGGTACCAAAAGTTCAACAATCTTGATTATGACATTACAAGAAATCAATACATGCCCCATTACGTCCACACTCAGGCTTGGTTATGGAACAGCAATTTGGAATGTCCGCAGGGACCAAAAGACAAATTAGAATAAACATAAAAATATATTTGACCTGATATGATAAGGGCTAATATTTCAAGGCAGCTGAAGAAGCGTCAAGATAATTATAAAAGGAAAAGCATCTAAGAATAAACGCTGCCATATTAATAGTAGGAATGTACAAGAATAAGCTGTTGCTCTCAAAAACTAAAATTATAGAATCTGAGTGGCAATCACCTGAGTGTGAGAACCCGTGAACTCAATGTCAACATAAAGCTTCAGAAGGTTCCTCACAAGCTACTCTAGCGTCAGTCGATGACCTTCAAATAGAGTAGCTGTAACGGATAAGCCACTGCCAAAAATAAATAAAAATAGAAAGAAGTGAATACCCAAATATTAAGCTTCAAAATGTAACCCTTTTTTCCCTGTGTAAAAAAAGTCAGTCAGTCTATTATTTCCATAAAATGGAAGATATGAAGTCACCTTCTACAGGGCATCCAACAGTTCAGGACTTCCACCATTTTCGCTCTTAGATATGGATTCCTGATGAACTCTGGACTTTGCCATGAACATGATGATGAAGTTCATGAAATCATCCTGTCAAGTAAAAATGAAATGAAAGATACTTTACATACGTCAAAGAGCTTATGGGGAATAAGAATGCACATAAATCTTTAGCATATAGCCTACCAGCAAAACCCCATCCAAAGCTTTAGGAATCCGAGGAGCAAAAATAAGCAACTCCATGGCATCTTCCAAAAAATGCTCAGGCATGCATGAGAATTCCATTGAGCAAGTTGATGGCAGAGGCATCTTAAAACCATCAACCAGGCCAACCAACCAAACCACCATTAACCGGTAGAAAGTCAGCCCATTCTGAATAAGTCCTCCATCCTAAATATAATATTAATTGATTATGTCAGTAACAGGATGAAGACCGGTCAATGCTGTTTTATCTCTTTGTTTTTCTATTGACCAAACCTTGTCTAAATTAGTACATGGGTGGATAGATGAGGGCAAGATTTGGCAGGTCTAGGTTTCAATCCCTAAGGGAAGTGACACTACATGAGTAACACTATAAATGACCAAAAAGATATCACTTTTGATTTATAAAGATTTAATTTTAATTGCATGCGATACAACATTGTACTGAGGAAGTTCCAAAATTCCATCATTTCTTATCTTGACAAGTTTTGAACAACAATAAAGATCACCTTAATTTTTTGTGTCACGTTAACATTCAAAAAGATGTTACAGCACCGTCAGAACTTATAGTTTATGATAGTAAAAGACAATCCTTTATTTATCAAAAAAAAAAAAAAAAAAAAAAGAGGAAGAAAAAAAAAAGGGGTTTTCCTGGCAATATTGGCTTTTGCTAAAATGTGAGAGTACCTGATATGACTGTCCACAGCACATGCTTTGTCGAAAGCCAATACTACTTTGACAATAGTATTACCAAAAGCAACCTTCCTTTAGACTAGAACACTTACCGAGTACAACTATACGCAAATAAATCAAGAAAGCCCAATGATAATAATTCAAAACCTCATATTTTTCATTAACAGAGGGCAGCTGATAATTCATAAAAATAATCCAGTGCAATTGGGAACCACCAATTGGCATAGTGGGAAAAGCTTGAGCTGTCAAGATTGAGAACGCATGTTCGAATCTTGAGAGAAATCACTTTGTGTAATTAACAGCAAAAGCTATAACTTTATCCAGTCTATCCCTTCCAACAGCCTCCATTAATGGGAATCATTATCCACTTAAGGCCTTATCTTCTATTTTCTGAAGCACGGAAACTCTGCAAAGTAACCATATCAGATGTAATCATAACATACCAGTCGACACAAATGTGCCCATGACTTAAAATGATCCTTTTTTAATTTTAAACATATAATTGATACTTCTTAGATAATCTGAGACGTATCTAACATGTCTTTGACTTTAAGGTGTGAAATGTGTTTATATATCATTAGAGTATACTTGTTTGGAAGAACATAAAAAGGGTTCCGAAGCTTGACATATAATAAGAATAAATAATATTCGATTTTGGTCCCAAGTTCATATCCATGCCATGCAACCTCAATTTTCTCAAGTACTTCTTAGTATTTTGAGTTAGGGTTCCCTTTTAAATTTCAAACACCTCTTAGATAATCTGAGGCATGTCCAACAACTTTAAGGTGTGGCATGTAACATAAA